ATGACAAATGGTAATGGATTATATATACCAGCAGGCCTATCGACATACTGATAGTTATCCTGTTATCCGAAATATGATTTTCTTCTTTTCTTTTCATTTTTCTTTATTTTCTTTATAATTCATTTTGATATATCGCATGGCTGTATCTATAAGGGCTGACTCCACACCCAGGACAGAAATCCAAGGAGATAAAGCCTACCAAAAAGAGTCTACACGCCAAATCAGCACAAGTCCCAGGAAGTGTCAGTGTCTGACTACTACTAATCTCATTACGTCAGCGTGGCCGTATAAGAACCGCCCTCCACCGCTGCTCGGCATCAGCTTCCCTCCGACAATCTTCGGTTTTAACACACTCCTCCGAGTCTACCAACAACCAGTTTAATGGTTAACGCCGTTAAGGTCTTCAAGAAAACTTCACCTAATGGTAACATGGAAAGTTGTGTGTAATAACTTGTGTCATTGTGACTGTCTATAAAGATGTAACAAAGTAATAATCATAATTTTCCAATCTAGGTAAGGTCACCGCGTATCTAAGTCGGCGGACTTCGTGGACCACGTCAGCCACACCTCCCCGTGGACGGTGTGTTGTCGTGGACCATGACTACCTGCGTGGAAGGAGGGTCTTCGCGCGCGTGGCGGTCACCTACCGCTACGGGCGCGAAGAGGATGAGGTCATGGACTTCACTTCAGCAAGGAGCTCGAACTCGTCAACACCGAGGTCGCTCCCCATGCTGAAGACGTGAAAATGACCGACGCCCAAGAACGACTCATCAAGAAGCTGGGTGCCAACGCCTACCCATCAGCGTCAACCTTCCGGAGAACGCCCCCTGTTCCGTCTCCCTCGACGCGCGGAGTGAGGGTTCTGTATGTATACCTATAAACTTATTTATGCCATAAACTGTTTTTGCTCACTGTTTTTATGGAAAAACGAAAGATCGAAATTGTCGGTTCTCGTCTGAAATAACATGTGGCTATTAAATTGATGGAATCATATGATTATCAAATTTCCTATCCGAAACAGACCCAGCCTTCTTGGTGTAATCTACGATCTCAGGCTGTACGTTGCTGACGCAAGAGGAACGTCCTCACAAGCGGAACTCCGTCGGCTTTGCTGTCCGAAAAGGTCCAGTACGCCTGTCCTGGATCCAGCAAACCGTCAGCCACAGACCCTGGTCAGCAAGGGCTTCACTCTTTCCCCAGGAAGGCTCAACCTCGAGGTCACTCTGCCTCAGGATGTCTACTTCCATGGACAGCCCATCGAGGCAACGCTTTCCGTCAACAACGTGTCCAAGAAGACCGTGAAGAACATGAAGGCTGAGGTTGTGCAGCACGTGGAGGTCACCATGACCAACACTCACTTCAGCCGAGTTGTGGCTTCACTCGAGTCTCGCGAAGGATGTCCCATCACCCCAGGATGCAACCTCACCAAGACCTTCTCCCTCAACCCTGTTGCCTCCGTCAACAAGCGACGCTTCGGCATCGCCCTCGACGGTCAAGTCAAGGACCAGGACGCCAACTTGGCATCGTCTACCTTGGTGGCAGAAGGTAAGAACGTCAACGACGCCTTGGGCATCATCGTGTCTTATTCTGTCCGCGTCAAGCTCAACTGCGGCGCCATTGCCGGCGACCTGACTGCCGACCTTCCCTTCAAGCTGGTGCACCCCGACCCTGCCTCCGTCAAGGCTCCACTGCGCAAGACTCAGTCTGCCGATATCGAAGTGGAGGAATTCACTAACTTGCGCCGTGGTCAGTCCATTGCTGAGGACTAAGTCAAGCAGGAACTACAGGATGCTCGGGGATCAGCCAATCATTATTATCTAATTGGACTTTCAAGCACCAGTTTAATCGGAAGGGAAATTGCAGTTATAAAATCGCACGGTAATAGGCCTTTACATCGTACAATATTATCATTGACACTTCATATTGTCTTCTATTTAGCATACGAGCATCATTTATTGAACATTTATATTTTCATGGACACTTTTCTGTGATAATCCTATTTTTTATTGAAACTGCAATAAAATTTGAAATAAACGTGTGATGTCTCTCGCACCTTGTGTATTACAGAAGTAAACATGAAAATGAAATATACATATACATGCAGATATACATGTACATGTATGATATATATGTGTGTGCATGCATATTTTTAGATATATGTATGCACACATGAACACACACACATACATATATATGCATTTATTTATTTATATATATGTATGTATATATATATACATATATATATATATATGCATTAATAATATATATATATATATATATATATATATATATTATATATATATATATATATGCATTTATATATATATACATAAATGTATGTGTTTATACATACACTAGTATGTATTTATATTTATATATATATATATATATATATATATATATATATATTGTGTGTGTGTGTGTGTGTGTGTGTGTGTGTGTGTGTGTACAAATATATATGTGTGTGTGTGCATATATACATGTATATAAATATATATGTGACACGAACTCACTATTGCAGAACTATATAACATTATGACAGACTAACAAATTTACATTTGTATTGAATATTTTCCACAAAATATGCCAGAATGAATGGCAACACGTTAATATAACATAATATAAAACTTATCAGTCCGATAGTTTCGCTCAAGAACATTATACAAAAACTTTCAGTAAACCTTTGTTTACAATATTTGTTGACTAGTAAGTACAATACGAAATTAGAGTTACTTCTTCGTTTTCTTACACTCTTGAAATGATGCATGCATCTTAAATATCGCAGTGACATATTGTGTCTTAAGCAAGTTAGTGACTAAATAATCTTTTTTATCAATTTCCATTCCTCTAAGTTTGTCATGTGAAAGTCTTTTAATTTCGAGTATTCACCTTTTTCACCCATGTACATGCTTTCTAAATTATTTATCTATTAATTTTCAATATGATCTTTTTTCGTGATAAGGTTTAGTATAGAAATATTTGCACGCTTTATACGATTTTTTTTTTTTTTTTTTTTTTTTTTTTTTTTTTTTTTTTTCCTTAACCTCATACTTCACGTTTGATTCTCTTCGTTTATTTTTGACAGTAGGTTCGCCTGTGTTGTTATAACTTTTGGTTCAGGGTTATTGTCAAGAATAGCGCAATTTTGCATTCACAACAGAACATGATATATACGCATATTAGAGATTATTTTCTCGTACATATGCACTCTATGCGCATGTAGTTGGAAGTGGGTATTTTTGCATATATGTTTGTATATCCATAATATGATTCAATATTTTTTCTAATTATATCGGATGGTTATATCTGCAGTAAGTAACTTATGTAAATGCATGGAAGAAAAAATAAGATAATCAGACGTGTGTATATGTATATATGTGTGTGTGTGGGTGGGTGCGTGCGTAAGCGCGCGCACGTTGTGTGTGTGTGTGTGTGTGTGTGTGTGTGTATGTGTGTATGTTTGCGTGTGTGTGTTTGTGCGTGTATATATAGAAACACATACACAGAGCCATAAATGAATGCAATAATTATAATTGTATTATAATTATAACTATTATATATAAATAATTATAATATCAAACGTTTTTGTCTTCCATGCATTTCCTTAAGTTAGTGAAACAGTGATGTCTACCAATACATAGACATGTATACCACAGTTTTAAAGAGCTCTATGTATGATTACATGGAATCAATTTTTGTTTAATACCTTCACAGCAGGGGCGTTATTCCAGCTTTTGCTTAAGGGCAAGATTGGTGAGAGAAGTAGACACAGTTTCTGGGTAATTTAGGGGGAAAATGACAGGAGTGAATCCCTTAGGGAGGAAAGGCAAGCCAGACCTTGAGGGGGATAGAGTCTTAGGGGGCGGTTCCCTTCACCCCTCCCCCTCCCCAAATGACGCCCCTGTTTCATGGACTCAACATTTCCCTTGCCTCCGTCTGGCTTAAATCTCTGCAGAATGTTATGAAATGTTTGGCTATCGTTAAAGAAGAAAACCAGGTTTCCACATAACTCGGTATCAATAATTAGATATTAAAATTAATATCAGCCGTAAAGTAATTCATAAAATTCCAAATAAAAGATGTATATATGGCAAAATTCATCCTTTAGGTTATTGTTAATTTGCTCATTCTGTGTGACAAGCTTGTACTAATTGTTATCAAAAGCGTGTGATATGGATACTTTATGAAAAAGACCCCACCTATTTCGGCGCGTGAGATACCGAAAAGAATTATCGCGTCATCCATTAACGTTTTAATGTTTTGTCCGGGATATAATGCTACC